TTCGAAAAGTGTACACTTACACAATATGTTAAAGATCGCGAAATGTGAAAATGTTTGCTATATTCGCTTGGCAAGATAACTTGATCGTAGCCTTGAAAATAAATACAATGAAAATGATGATGATGTTGATAATGACCTGGCGTCGGCGACGACGATGAAGCTTATACATTAATTGTCTTTTATTTATTACAGGAAAGCTGCTAAAGCAACATTGATTCTGGTACCCCTACTTGGTCTTCAGTTCTTCCTGTTTCCTGTTCGACCAGACGGGAATTCAAACTTGTATCCGATCTACCTGCACGTCATAGCTTTCCTGCACGCTTCGCAGGTAACACTCAGAGAGACATGTTTTCCTGCCAATTGTCTGTCTAGTAACTGAGTTAAGGATCCTTATTTTCTTATGTAGTTTAAAAATAAGCATAGTAGCACAGTCTGAAGATGCTGGCGTCATGGCATGGGAGGCAATCTGTGTCAGAACTGATTGACAGTACACGAGACAGAAGGTCGTGGATAAATATGACTACCAGTGTCACACAGCATGGACTATATGAAAAAGTACAGTGTTGAAGCTGGGGCAGCAAGTCTTTAGATACTTGTCTACGGAATTGAATGTCTTGGATTCAGTTTAGCACCACTGTCCCAAATACAAAATATCAAGGCAAAACATTTGGCCAAGAGAAACATCGATGAAAGTCAAACTTTACGACGCTGAGTGAAAAACAAAAGACAGTGAAGCTCATACTATAGACAAAATTGCACATATAGATAATCTATTTCAAACGAACAAAAGAAGAAATTTAGCACATTGCGGATTGTTAAAAATTTACCTTAGCTCGTAACCTACATTGCTTTCTAGGAAAAGTCCTGGAAGTAAAAAAGCAACCAACGTGATTATCGCGAAATCACCCCTCAAGTGTCGATTTTTTATATTAAAATATGGGTCTAAGACTCTTTGCTTGTGCACTAATTACCGAAACATGGTCCTTTACTTACATACTCACTTATTGTTGTAGCAACATTCAAAGACATTAAGGTTTTTAACAATTGATATAAAATAGAATGTATTACGTTGGCTTGTTGCGATAATTGGGCCCAATACAATGGCAATACTAGAGGACAAAAGAATAACTAACATTTCAAGGTTTAGGATAGTATCAGTTGTCCCGAGATTTGCTTTGACACATGATCAATCTCCGGAAAGCTGCTGGTAGCTCACCGAGTGCGTTGCACATCTGTTGAGCCTCAAGCAATAGCATCCATGAATCTCCAAACCAAAAGCATTGGTGAACAAAAAAACGGAGATTGAAGTTGAAGCCACAACTTTAGGATTGTCATGCCTATGGCTTCATCATTTTCACACAAAGACCTTAGGAAATTAACGCTCTTTGTTTTGTCAGCTGAGCAATCAGCTTTTTCTTAGCGTTCACTGACGGTAAACTCCGGCGGAAAGTTTTGGGTTTTTCGTCCACTGCTGGGCTTTGATCTTGATCCAGAGCTTGAATTTAGCTTTCACATCCGTTTTACACATCTGACTTAATTTGTATGTAGAATGTTGATTTCTTGCTTTTCAGGTATATGCACCCTTACTTTTAAGGAAACATAATTAGTCCCCTCCTACGATATGCTTTTTTGGGGGGTGAGGATGGGGGTGGGGGGGGGGGGTTATTCTTTGTTCTCCAAAATAGAGCATCAGAACCTACATGGTGAAGCTAAGCATTATTTCACCCGTGCAGAGGTGCCTAGAAACCCCTTTCAGTCCGTTAGGCCATATTTATGGCCCAGCTACATTCAGGGCCCAGGGTAAAAGCCAGGGTGAGGCTTAAAATACCAAAAAATTGCATCCCACATGGGGACGACTAGTAGAACGAAATAATATGTCTTGTTCAACTTTGTAGGCATATACAAGTTATGATAAGATTTTATTGTTATGACGAGTTGTTATTCTCTGTTCTCCAAAATGGTGCATCAGAACCTACATGGTGAAGCTAAGCATTATAAGACACGCATGTTTGGTCCTATGACAAATCGTATCTAGTATAAAGTATAATCTGCAGTATTATCAATATGAGTAAAGATGACTATCCTAGGTTAGGTTTATATTTTAATTTCACAGTTTAACTGTTTTTGTGTGCCAAATGAATTATATTTAGTTATTTTATTTGAAAAAGTGGTTTCCACTGAATTTTAGTTATTCAAGTACACTACTATTTGTTCTACAGGGATCACTGGTTTCCATTATCTTTTGCTTCTGTAACGGAGAGGTGAGAGTAATTTGTTTTTTATTTTTTGTTAATATATGTAGGTTTATATCTTATTAGAAGTTTCCTGTTATGCTGTAGGTTAACTAGCATTTTTTAGTTTTTATATAGCTGAAGAATAAGCAGTTAGAAATTCAAAATGATTCTCTAGAAATATGGAAAAACGAAATAATCTCTCTCTCTCTCTCTCTCTCTCTCTCTCTCTCTCTCTCTCTCTCTCTCTCTCTCTCTCTCTCTCTCTCTCTCTCTCTCTCTCTCTCTCTCTCTCTCTCTCTCCTAATTTACCTAACCAAGACATCACACAGAGCGATAAACACCTGTTGACACAAAGTGCCACTATGTGGATGAGGATCACCCGTGGAGAGGTCACAGAAACCCAGAAAGCCCAGCTATATTCAGGGCCCCCGGTAAAAGCCAGGGTGAGGCTTAAAATACAAAAAAATGTGCATCCCACATGGAGACGACTAGTACACCGAAATAATACGTCTTGTTCAACTTTGTAGGCATATACAAGTTTCAACGAGATTTTAGGAATAAAAAGTTGTTAAAAGAAACTGAAAAATGACAAGTAAAATATGTTAACCAGATAAAAAGATTAACAATTCCTTAAAAGCAAACTGGAGGGGATGTAAGAGGTGGGAGAGGTAGACAGCGATACATTTGGGAGAAAACAAATCAATAAATGGACGAAACAGAAGTCTGAGCGCGTCAGGAGATAGAGTGAGAAAAAAGTGTGTTGGAAAACTATTGAATTAAACTTGACTATGTAGACGACACCTATTGATTTGAGGCAGTATCTTGAAAAATGTTTTCAAGTAGTTCAGCTGGCAGTTCTAGTCTGCCTGAAATAATTTTTTTTTTTTTTTTTTGAGAAAGGGGGAGGGGGTGGTAAGAACTGACGTTGGCCCCAATGTCGACAGGCTAAAATCGATCTTTGGTAATATTATGAGATGGCAAGGCCGGGGTGATATTGACTATTCCATTCACCAAGTGACGATTGGTCTCTAAAGATTTTCCAAATCATCTACCAAGTGACAATTGGTTTCTAAAGATTTACCCATTCATCCCCCAAGTGACAATTGGTCTCTAAAGATTTACCAAATCATCCCCTAAGTGACAATTAGTCTCCAGAAATACACCATATCATCCCCAAAGTAACAATTGGTCTCTAAAGATTTACCAAATCATCCCCCAAGCAACAACTGGTCTCTACAGATTTACCTATTCATCCCCCAAGCAACAGCTGGTCTATACAGATTTACCTATTCATCCCCCAAGTAAAAATTGGTCTCTACAGATTTACCATATCATCCACCAAGTGACAATTGGTCTTTAAAGATTTACTAAATAATCCACTAATTAAAGACTGGTTTCTAAAGATTTACCAAATCATCCACCAAGTGACAATTGGTCTGTACAGATTTACCAAATCCTCCCCCAAGTGACAATTGGTCTCTACAGATTTACCAAATCATCCCCCAAGTGACAAATGGTCTCTAACGATTTACCAAATCATCCCCCAAGTGACAAATGGTCTCTAATGATTTACCAAATTATCCACCAAGTGACGACTGGAACATAAAAATGTTAATCAAGGCACCCACCAGGTCCCGTCTGGTCTATGAAAAAAGGATTCTAGGATTATGCCTGATGCGTTCCTGGTGGTAAAAAAGGGTTCTTTTCCTACATTACTGATTTCAGCTGGTGGGCTGGTCGTGAAGCTTCATCCTCTTCATTGTCAAACCTAAAACTGCATTTTCGCACCATTCAGGGGGGAATTAGTTGTTGAGGTTTTCAAGCATTCTTCAATATTTATTTAACGGAATCCTTTTTTTTTAATCGTTCATTTCGGCGTCTATGGCTTAGGGCTACTAACGAGGTTTGCAATTCTGAATTACCCTGTTCAATTCAAATGCGGGCAGTTGGGCACCATACCATTTTGCGTTGTTTTCAACAGTAGTGCAGAAAGCTAGCCGTTCAGGTGTCATAGCAAACTACTACTTAATGTAAAACTGTTAAGTAAAACCACAAACAGTCAACAAATTCTAGACTTAGTTTGCGGCTTTCATTAAAGGATATGCAACTAACTGTTTTGGTTTGGGTCAAGATAGCGGGAAATGTTTTCTTCTCGCTTGGCTTAAGACTTTTGATCGACGACCCGACAAGCCTCCATCGTTAAACATCCTTTGCTATGAAATCAGCTTTCTAGTTCTAAATGTTATGATACTTCGTAAAAACTTGTTAAATTCCAGACTTCTCCATTAAACCCTCATGTGGACACCGGGAGGGAAGAGAAAATGCTGAAGATCAAGATATACACTGCTTAGAAACACCATAAGAGAAGGCTCAACCTGGGCCTAAAGCAGGTGGAAGGGAACCACCAGACATGGAGATCTATGACCTGTGCCCTATGCGCCACTCTAGGCTCAAGAGGAAAGACTAGCTAACTCACTTTTTTAACGTTGTTAATTCCTAATTATTTCTCATCAATCAGGTCAGATCTCTTGTGGGTCGAAAGTGGCTCCAGCACCGACTGATGTCTGGAAGTGTCCGGAAAAATACTGGCATTACATCACAGACATTTGTGGACGGGTATTCAGTGGTTGACAGCACCCGTGAAGCCACCAACTTACAGTGTGTGGTCACTCAAGACATTCACAAGAACAACGTGAGTGGTTTCTTGTCCACAACAATAGTTAATTTCTGTTTTAGAACCAAACAACTCGCTCAATTTGGCTCAGGGTCTCCGAAACCTGAGATTTCAGGTACCTTGAGAACCCTCCCCTCCCCCCCCCCCTTTTTTTTTTTTTAAAAACTTTTCTTTCTTTTTTATTTTTTTTTTATTTCTGCTTACATTAATTTAGGGATTGGGGGTTAAACGCACCCCTCCATTATATTTATGCATAAAAGCAATTAATTGTTGGTACATTTCATATTATTTCTTATAAGTATATGTGTGTATGTATATATTATGTATGTATGTGTTTGTGTGTGTATATATATATATATATATATATATATATATATATATTATGTATGTATGTATGTGTGTGCGTGTATGTATGTGTGTGTGTGTGTGTGTGAATATATGTATATAGCTAGACGCTCGCCTGCTAGACCTGAGGTCATGGGAGCGAATTCACATTATCCAGGATTATTTTGTATTATTCAGAAGATTAAATACATCTTATGCAATAAATCGCTCCAATTTAATGTCAGGAAGAGAGTACTAAAAATGTTACATAGAACCTGGTTTGCTGTATGGCAGCGAACATTGGAATGTCAGCGAACAAATAAATAAGAATTTGGAAGCAACAGAGATATGGTTTCTGAGGCGAATGTTACGAATACTTTAGACGGCGAGAGTAAATAACAACGATTATTTAAAAGTAAAGGCGGCCGGTATGATTCTGAACATGACCCATCGAGTGCCGATTGGTCTTAAAAAACGTAGATCAAGTACTATGTACCCAGTACACCAAAGGAAGTGGGTAACGGTGTTTCATACATATATGTGTGTGTTTGTGTGTAAGTGTATATATGTATGTATATATTATACACATGCCATACAGCTCATTATTCTTTTAATTATTACGCACTTAAATATGTCTAAGTTTCCTTAAGGCCTTCTTGTAGGACGTTTCTTGTCATCTCTTTTGCCTCAACCAGAGTTGATATCTTCTAGGGTTAAAGGATAAATAGAGTATTTTAAAAAAACATAAGCATCCAGTTTTGTATACGAGGACACAAACCGCATAAGGCGGCATTTATAGCCTAGCATAGAATCATTTTTTCCTTTGTGTTTACTTCTAATTGTGAAGTAACAACGGTAATTGTAGATTTCAACGCGAAAAAAGGAAGTGAAAAAGTGTACGGAATAACGGGTGGCTATGGCTTCGGAGAAAAGAATGTGAGAGGTGACAGATTAATAGCATGGGCTGAGTCTCACAGAATGATAATAGGTAACACCTGGTTTAAACACCATCCTCGAGAATAGTGGACTTAGAAAAGTCCTGGCGAAAATGACCGCAATCAGATTGATTATATTTTGATTTCAAAAAGATTCCGGAGTAGCTTAGTTGGATCAAAGACTAGACTGCTTTAGTTACCATGTTCCAGTTATAGGAAAGATTTGAATAAAACTAAAGAATAATAGGAAACACCACAGAACATCAAGTTAAATTTAGGAATACTTAGAACGGATAAAGAAATTAGGGAACAGTACAATGTAACTGTACAAAGCCGGTATAATGCAATAGAAATTACAGACTATTGATGAACAGTGGGATATGTTGCGTGAGTCAGTTCAGCAGACATCAAAAGAAAGAATCCCCTAACCAATAGAGATGGAAAAAAAAAAGAAATGGATGTCAAACGAAATTCTGCACTTGATTGATGAAAGAAGGAAGAAAAAAATGATAAAGAAGAATACTCTAGCTAACAAAAAGAAACAGTGAACAAATGCGTTGTCGCTAGAGAAACCTGACTTAATCAAATGTGTACAGAGGTTGGGAAAAATCACAGGAAAGACTTCCATTCCATGTACCAGCAGATAAATATTTTAACAGGAAAGATGACACGTTTGATGTTTAAAATTAAAAAATTGCGACTTATTAATGGGACATAGTAATATAATTAACAGATGGACATAGTATATATGGGAATTGTATGATGATAATTGACCAGATGTAGAACTGCAGACCAACAATGATGGTCAACCAATAAATAATAACTGCAGAAGTTGAGGATGCATTGCATTATATGAAGAAAGGAAAAGCACCCGCGCCAGACAACATCTCACTGAAAGAAAGTGAAGAACTGTGAGATTTTGGAAATAAAATAATAACTAAACTTGTAAATGATATTTTTAATAGTTGGTATATTGCAAATGCCCTTTTAAAATCCATATTTATAACTCTGCCAGGCACTTAAAAATGTGAAGAACATCGCACATTAAGTTTTATGAGTCACATGACTAAGATTTTACTGAGAATAAGAAACAAAATTAAAATAAAAATCAGTGATGAACATCGTGGATTTGTAGAGGGAAAAGGTACAAACAATACCGTTTACACCCTAAGGATATTGTCAGAAAGAATATTAGAAGTAAAGACTGATTTGTACTTATGCTTTATAGACTATACAAAAGCATTTGACTGTGTGAAACATAAAGAAGTAATCAAACTGTTAGAAACATTAAACATTAATGAAAAAGATCTACGAATAATAAAGAATATGTGTTGTCAGCAAACAGAAGCTATAGGAATTAAAAACTGTTTAGGTACATTTAAGTGCATAAAGAGGGGCGTACGACAAGGATGTGTACTGCCACCTGATTTATTTTCACTATACAGTGAATATATAATTAGATCTTTAATTGATTTGCCTGGAATTGTGGTTGATGGGCACATATAAACAATTTGCGTTTTGCTGATGACATAGTCTTGATAGTAACAAGTCAGAAAGATTTACAGGAAATGACAGACATTGTGTGGTACAAAGTGGAAGAATGGGCCTCAGTTTGAATAATGGGAAGAAAGAAATAATGGTGGTATCCCAAAAAAAAAATTATTCCTAAATGTGTAAAAAAAAAAAAAGTCAGAAGTGTAATTTTGGAGAGCAACCAAGAGATTTTGAAAGAGGCGGGAGCTCGAAGACAATTTATCACAAACACCAGAATAAGACAGTCATCATTTTCGGCTATGTTTGAAAAGAGGGAAGATGGATCATGCTGCGACCACTGGAAAGATCTGTGGAAGGAGGAATAGAGGAAGACAACGAGAGAAGATTCTTGACAGTCTTGTTGCATGGCATGGAGGTGTGTCTGCACACGAACTAATACATGCTGCAGGAGATCGCAAATTGTGAAGAGGCATGATCGCCCACGCCAGTCGACAAGGCACCTGATCATGATGATGCTGTTTACATCTACTAAACTGTTGTCGACAACGGCAGAAAGGTAGTGGTTAACCCTGTGATATTTTGCTAGTCCCAACAATTACCACTGGGACGGCTTTTCAAAAATTGTAAAAAAAAAAAAAAAAACTTGTTGACAGAAGCCAACAAACATACGGAAACATAACACTTTTTTATTCAAGTACCGTATGATTGACACAAAAAGGGAGCTGATACTATATACACAACAGGTCGGAATAAATATTCCTAATCCAGAAATCTAGCTGCGCATACACATCGTTTTTATTGATTAGGCTTTTTTGTATGCAGACTGTTGGTACTTTTTCCGCAGACAGATGCACTCCAACTTTGAAGGGAGCACCCAATATTTACTCCCCCTCCTGCGATAGGCTTGTTTAGGTTAATCCATTCTTTGTTCTCCAAATTGGAGCCCTGAACCCACACAGGAAAATTACGAGGTTAAAGTTGTTTCCTCCTCTTAAATAATCAATGAGGGGCCGTCTCTGTAATGAAGTTTGGCGCCAGTTATCTACTATAAACAGAGTGCTGATGGTCTGTAAAAATATGGGACGCTCTGCCCATATGCCCGATGCGCCGAAAGGCGTGAAAAGGGAACTTTACTTTACTTTTATTACTTATCTACTATAAAGTATGCCTTTCCCCCTAGGTATACACACTGCTGTTCGTCTGTCTCTTGACGGTATCCTCCCTCTTGTATCGCTGTCTGCCTCTGAATCACTTCTCTTCGCCTAATCTTTCTCTAAACATCATATTTTAAAGTAATCAAATTTTCTGTAAAGTTGTGAAATGTTTCCCTTGCGAAACTCGTATTTCAACTCTGCACTATCATTTATCTTCCACAGGAGACTTCAGACATCAATGGTAGTCCCCTGGCGACAACTCCTTTGGTCAAGAAAGCTGTTGAAATCACCTCCAACCAAGACAGTGAATTAATTACTTAAGTATCATTGCACTCGCGTGTATTTGACAAAAGATATATTTTCCCTGGGCCAGTATCGCCCCGGAATAACACGTTCATGACCAAGGTTTTCATGACAACATTCGTAGGCGATCAAACTGGATGTCTGGACAGTTTACAATCCTTGTATTCTGTACAATATTGATTTGATTTTAACTAGTGTTACCTTTTAATGTCATTTACAACCCTTTATATGGTTTACCGTTCAATCCGATTGTCACCTCCGTCTACTTGTAATGTTGTCATGTTTTTGTGTTATGCCAGATTCACTAAAAAAAATGTGTTTTTGTGTTTGGTAACATTTTTTAGTGACTGTTTCTGATGTGTTATTTTAAACACACAAAATAATTACTTTATTTGTTGTTGGTAAAATATTTTGATAACATGTTTTTTTTTTTTTTTTTTAACATACTAAATAATAATTTTATCTATTATTTGTTTTTTAAAAAAAAGTATTAAAATGACGTGTGTTTCTTTTTCCAATAATTTAGTAAATAACTTCCTTTACTTTGGTAACATTTTATGACGCTATTTTAAAATACTACTAAATAAACACTTCAATTATGTTTGGTAGCATTTTATGAATCTATTTTTAAAAAACTACCTGATAAACACTTTTAGTAACATTTTATGAATCTGTTTTTTTTTTTTTTTTTTAACTACTAGATAAACACTTTAGTTATGTTTGGTAATATTTTATGATGACATGTTTTAGTTTTAGTTTTTTTTTTTTCTGCTAAAAAACTGCTTGATTTGTGTTTGGTGAAACTTTAAAGTTGCCTGTTTTAATGGAGCAATGAGCAGCACATTGCAAACTGTCAACAGCAAACAAACTGTAAAATGTAAC